TCTCTGATATGAGTTCCCAGAGGGGTGATTTTAACTTCTGTATTTTCAGTATCTTAGGGTGACATATTCAGATTTGCTCTGTATTGATCTGACTTACACGTGTAGACAAATATGATTGAAAACAGTCAAAGGTGAGCTCTGAAATGAGGCATCATAAGACAATTTGGTGTGTGTGAGGAGGACGCTCCCAGGAAAGTTTATGGTGTTTTTTCCCCAGCTTTTGTTATTCAAAAGGAGCTAAAGTGTCCTCTGTTCTGCTCCTTCCTCCCTTGTTCCTGTCCCCACCCCTCTTTTTTAGAGGAAATTCTGTTTTCCCCAGTTGCAGGATAACTATTCTTATTGATGTGCACAAAAAAAATCCTGGGTTTCTGATTTCTGACTGTATAGCCAAGACAAAATATTGAAGTAAAATAGATACTTGCTCCAGAAATAATCATTCTTTAATTGAAAGATTTTGTTAACTTTGTTTCTGGTGCAAAATTTGATCTTCAACTGGCTTGCTAAAATATTTGTTAAGACCCAACCCATGTTATTGTTCTCAAAGAATAGTTCACAAATGAAACTACAACAAACTAGTTTTAGTATCTGGAACATTCGGTTCTTTCAAGAATATGGTTTGTCTACAAAAATAATGTTTTATGAACACTGTAATGAGGCTCACATTCTGACCTGGAACAGTCTATTTAATCTCACTGAAGAGCTGTGTGCCAAATAAAGATAGTGAATAATTTCACGTGGGTAAATAAAGTACTGAAGTAAACATGGAAAGTATAACACCTTTTTTCTTACAGAAGAAACAGTCTCTTTCTTATAACCAGAAACTACAGTCCACATTTACACCATAATGAGTGGGCTACTATTGACTTAGTGCTCCAGAAAAACCTAAATGGGCAAAAAATAGTTCCAGTATAGTTAGCTCTGTTTTTAAAGAGCTACCAAACTTTTTATTAAGCAGTCCCTAACCACCTCAGAGCAGCATGGTATGCCTACCTTTTACTCTGTGCATCCAAATGGTGAGAGCTGTACTTACCTCTATTCCATATAGGACACAGAAAATCCTTCGAATTTCCCTCTGCAAGAAGCAGGTTCTCCTTCACCATGACAAGCTACAGGTATTAACCAGCCATGCAAAAGCACAGGATAAATAAGTGTTATTTTCGGCATATCAAGTTCCCAGTTACCACACTGGAATGCTAAACCACAGATTAAATAACAAAGCATTTGAGAGTATTCTACTACAAAAAGATAAAGGAACCGTCTCTTGATAAATATAGTTTACTTTTTAGGCTTATATTCGTGTGCAAGTACAACAAACAGCATAGAGATTTAACAACGAGGGGAAAAGCAGGGAACGATAGACAAAGAATGCTACATTCTATCAGCATGGACTCATTATTGCTTTGCACTGCAAATTGCTGCACAAAATCACAAGCCAAGCTTTCAAAATTGCAAGTCTGCATTTAAAACTAAGTCATTCAAAACTGAGACAGTGAGTTCCTTTTACTTATCTTCTGTGTTTTGAGCCTTTAGAGCTGATTCTCAAAGACTTTCTTCCCATGCTGTCAGCTTTCGGTTTACTGCTTCCAGTAAGTCAGGATTCCTACATGACTCAAAGAGATAGAACTTCAAGAATCACAGCAAATTTCAGACAATTTGATTGAACTCACAGACTTTAGCAACATCGTTTATTCATTAGTAAGGCAAATAATTTAATCTTTGTCTTAATGCATGAATTAGTAGGACATACTTCTAACTAGTTTTACAGGTTGATAAGCATGAAATACAACATTTCATACTGAAACAGAAAAGTTAAGCGACTTGCTTAAAGTTCGAGTCCAAAAAAGCTTTAATAAACCAGTTTCTGTCTTCTCGCTTTATGCTCAGACTGTCTTTAATACATATACTTTCACAGTCTTTTCACACAGTTTCCCAGACTAATTTACACACTTGAGCAATCTACACTCACACGAAACACTCAGAACAACTTCATCCCACTTTATGTGTGTAATACATATATCATACATACATATAAATGCATAACCAAAGCCTATCACACTCAGAACTTGCTGACATTAGGAGAGTAATTGGCCTCTAGTAGCTCAAACACAGTGATTGTCAGCTGGGTGGAGTCAGTACAACCCTACTGAAGAGCTCCTGGACATGAGCTTTTCAGTAGACCTCAGTCTGTAAAATAGAGGGGATGGTTGACCATTAAAACAAAACAGTTATGGGCACAAACAAACAAAAAAACCTCTCACAAACTATATCACCAGAGCTCAATAAAGGGCAATTTCATGTTGTCATTTATTAGCTACAAGACAGTGGTGTAAAAAGCTGAGTTCATAAAATATTTAAGCAATCTTTAGGTAACTACTGTCTAGGTATCAGTCTTCGAAAATGCTCATCAACCTTCTAGGAACTTTTTTTCTTCTTTGAGTGTTCTGTTGATAGCAGAAGCTGGATTTTAATGGATATCCAGATGATTGTGCATGAAAAAGCCTCCTGCCAATTTTGCAGGTGAAAAATCTTGGCAGGATATAAAGACCAGAGGAGGTATAAAATCTATCCCTAATAACTCTAACCGGACAGCAGCAGAGTTCTACAGGAAATGTTACAATTAAAATCTTAGTAAAGAGTGAATCTTAGTAATGAACAAAACAGTAAAACTAGCCCACTCCTCTACAGTACCATTTTTTGACAAATTTCTCTCTTTTTTGATCATAGTTATTTATGAAACTGTGTTATGAGACTAAGTTTCCTAAGAAACTATTTTTAGGCTTTGGATAACAACATTATTATTAATTGTGCTGGTTTTGTCATAAATATTCACTTGTAGCAATGAGCACTATCAAGTTGTGGTGTTCTGCGAATACTTCTGTGGAGTTGACAACTGTGTAAGATCATCAGGCCCAGGGAGACTCAAGTGCTCAGCTCAAGGACGGGAACATCTTCAGCGATGTCCTGCAAAGCAGATGCAGTCTAGTGCATGGCAGGGTCCTCTTCGTATCACAGACTCTTCACAAAGGGGCCAGCAAAAATACATGAGAGTGAAGGTCTGATCTGATGCAGAAGCACTGCCACTGAGATGGTTCTTCCATACAAAGGAAAGCCAGCGCGCAGATAAATGCCAAGCCTAGCAAATGTCCAGTAATGGGCTGCTGGGATTGCGCTGCAATGCACAGAAGTGCTGGAGACCTCACAGTGACACAACCAGACTGTGTTAAAGTCACAGGTTTATTCACCTGCAATGGGAAAACACTGTGAAAACTATCTGTCTCTTCAGGGTTCACTACTACCCATTTCTTATTTAGCACAGAAATTGATGAAAAAAACAGATGTGATGTATGTAAAAATGTATACAATATGTCATTACTAAAAAGGAAGAGGTGCTTTTGTCTCAGGGAATCACTACTGGATTTTGGCTATGACTGATTCAGTGATCTATTTTTTTTTTTCTGAGATGGTTTTCACCAACTATCCAATTCTAACACATTGTCATCAGATGGGGTTTTTTTGCTTTAGCCAAGTTATTGCTCTTTCAAGTGGTAACACACCTGAGCTGGAAACCAAATTCTGAATATACCAAAGACTGAATTCAAGTGAGATCAAAACTCAGCAGGAATGAACCACCCACTGCTCTGAATTCAGCAGATGAGACCAACCAAAGAGGTGACCTGCATAACACAGCCCTACTTCAAACTTAGGGCTCAGACAGATCACTACAGTAGGCCAAAGAACATACTTGTACTTAAGAGAAAAGGGGATGGACTTTTCCATCCACACTAAGCTGGAGTCTATTTCTGTCTGGCTGCTTTTGTCAGCTTGGTGACTTCTTGATCATGTAGAAAGTGATGAAAGGTTTTTCTTCTCCATTCCACAGACCTAGACGTTCAACACACAGGCAGGAAAAACCTTTGTCCTCCCTTTGTATGTCTTCCCGTAGTTTGGTCATTCATGAACTCATTCACATACATGTAACCATTCCCAAACAGCCAGTACTTTGTGGGAAGGAATTGGCACACAGATACATGAACTAGCAGAAACAAACCCTGTATGACAGCAGCCCATATTGCCATTCTGCAGGTTTGAAACATTCAACATTTGCAGAAACAGTATTAGCAACTTGGTGTTCTGAGAGAATAAAGGAAAAGTCAAGGGCATTCTATAGTGAACAGAAAATAGCAAAGCACTGATTTAGATTCTTATAGGCAGTACTGCCTGCTGCTCAGCCAGCTGGACAGCTGACATGCCCATTAGCCACTAGGAATCACACTCTGCCCACATACAATAAAACAGGAACCGTCATAGTTCAGTGTGGCAGAGTAACCCATCCTGACAAAGTCCACACTGAGGATCCTCCCAAGCTCTCTGTTGGCTCTGGTGGTGCATGTTGTGAAGTGGGGGACAAAGGGATTCCTTTATTCCATCACAGCTTTTGCACCTAAACCAAAACCCCTTTGATGAGAAGAAAAATAAATGCCATGCAAGACACACCTATCATGATACTTAGCCTGCAATGCTGGGAGGGGATGTAACCTAGCTCCCGCAACAAAGCAATTGTCCTTGCATTACTCGTTATAAATAACACATACATTTACTCAGGGGCATGGAACAGGATGCTTGCTTGATGTTGAAGAAAAGCATGTTTCATCCTGGAGAGTTTGTACAAGATTAAAAACCAGTTGTGTTTCTTAGATTCTTACAATCTTTTACTCTGAAATGAATGAGACAGCTTGTAGGGTATGCCACTTGATTTGGTTCCACATAAGCATTTTCAAAGATGGAAACTTGAGATATCACTTAGCTGAGGAAAGAGGAGGAACCATCGATATGTAAGTCAGAAGGTACTTCAAGTGGTATCTGAATCTCTGCTTTGCACTGATTCTCTATGGTGTGTACCCTCCTGGATCTTTGTGGTGCAATACCATGCTACAGTGGGGTGGCTAATGTAGAAATAAATGGTCCATTGTGTTATACAGGAAACAATCAATGTCAGAGGAGACACTTCTAGAAATTTTTTATTTGCCAGGCTCTAATTCTGCAACTTGCCTATTTAAATTAAATACAAATCAAATCACAGGATGTCATAAAAGTGTCTCAGAAAAACATTTGATATTAACAGGACAGAGAGGTGACACATCAAATAGACCACAGTTATAATAAACCCAGCATTCTTTATTACCCCATATGAACATTGCCCCTGCCCTGGCACTCCTGTCAATAAATCACCCTGTGTGACCATTGATGAAAATAGTATTTGCTTTCTACTTGCATAGCAACAGAGGGAAGCTGTTCCCTCGTCAAGATGAGGGCACTTTCTCCCCTTCAAGAAACTTCAGAACGTTCCTTTCTCCAAATGGGACAGGGAGGTGTCTGTCCTCTGGCTTTTAGCTGAAACCAGTTTTAGAGGATGAATTAATTGAGACAGGCATGCTCAGTGTTACCCACCCATGCAAGCTCCATTGTATGTTACTTGCAACAGTGAAGAGGAAGCACCACGAAGTGCCTGGCAGCAGCAAAATGTCCTCATACTGTGAAGTCCATCAGAAGGCAGAAAAAGTCCCTTTCTCAAATGCATTTAGATACCTACAGATGCAAATCAGCATTAAGTGGTGGCTGCCAAGGCACCGAAAGTACTTAACCATTCCTGGTTTCAATTTCTTCAAATAGTGATAAGCTTCAGGTGGTGACAAATGTCTGTGACTAAGCCACTTCTTGGCACTAGAAATGGCCTCTTCCTTAAGTGGAACGGTGTCTGTCCACATGCTCCACCATTCCCTGGAAGAGGTGTGAGGCTGCACCACATGCAGCCAGCTGGCGAGACAGGGTGCCATTGGAGGCACCTGGGAACAACAGTCAGTGGAGAGTTTATGGTGCCCAGCACCTCGAAAGAGCAAAGAAGATAAAGGCACAAAAATCAAACCATTCTTGAAGTAATTTTCTGCTCAGAAAAGCACCTGGTCATTTTGTGGATAAATACTTTCCTCACTTTTAAAGACAAAAATGTGAATATTTTTCCAGTTCTATAAAGAACATTAATGTTAATAACAAAACTATTAAATATCTTACACACACTACTATGCTATAGGCCAGAATTTTCTGGCCAGAATTCTATGATTCTATGCTTCTATAACTTCTAACTTGCACCCTTTATTATGAGGTGGAGAATCACCATGGGTGCAGAATTTGACCCTTATGTCCTCACAACACCCTTGTGAGGTAGATAGGTACCATGACATCTCCTTCAGGAGGGGAAACTGAGGCAAAAAGAGGTGAACTGACTTGTGTGCAAGTCTGGGAACAGAACTCAGGTCATGCCCACAGATCTCTCCACTGCAACACACTGCCTTACCTCCCACCCAACTGAATCTCCAGGGCTGAAGCATCCATGTACCACTGGCCAAATACACCTAGTCTAAAACCAATCTTTCTGTATACTACTTCTGCTTCAGAAATTACATAAAAAGGCACTACAAAACATTCTTCTCACAGGACCTGAATTCCAAAGTACCCAAGACAACTCCCATTGCTGTCAGACAGCACAAGCCCTAATATTTGGGCCCCTAAATTTTTACAAGGCATGCAATTAGAGCCTTTTTCATGCCTTGTCACCACCCCAAAATTCCAGAGTTAATTAACAAGGCATCTCAGGCTAATCCAGGAACTTTCACAATAGGTGTGAAGTCCTAGAGGTCACTGGTCATTTCCAGGCTTGCACTAACAAAACACTGGTTGGCATGTGAAACCACATCCTGTGGCTGAGTGAGAGAAAGGCTCCTGGCCCTGCCAGTGCCACCGTGCAAGGAACACAAAGACAGCCCTAACTCATAATTGCCCAAGACATCAGATGAATCATGACCAGCATGGACTATGTTATCTCAACCTTCAATAAGCATGTTTAAATGCAGTGAGATTTGGGAGTGAAAACAAGACAATGGAAAATGTGTTGGATGTTGACTTGGAAGGATTCTACCATATGGTTGAGGACCAACTAAAACACAACATAACGTAACATAACATATCATAACATAATATAACGTACCCCTTCTTCCACTAGACAAGTGACAACAAGGATTTCTCTGCACAGCTGATGACTTGTGGTTATAAGTAACAGTTAATGAATTTTTAGCCCCTGCCTGAGTGCAGTGTTCAGTGCTAATGATTTACAAGTACACACCGTGATACAATAGTTCAAAGCATTTGATACAACAGCCTGCCCTCTCTTTATTTAAAGTTCGATAAATTCTAAATCACGACCCCGATTGGAGGTACAATGGATCACTTGATCATACTTATGATCCAGACACATGATCCTTAGGGTTGTGTAATTAAACAGCACTTTTTGTTCCAGCATGACCGGAATAAATTTGAGTTGGTTCATGCCTGAACCGATGTGTGGCTCCCAGAAGGTAGAAAAACCTGACACTGGATCTGAAGTGGTGACGAGACTCTCTATACAGGGCTTCAGGCAATAAGGAGTAGTATTATGGGTCCTTTTCTTGTTTAACACAGGAATTCTCACTGGTTAGCTGTGCTGTTTGCCCAGGTTGGGAATGTGTCCAGCTCAAACATAGGTCTTCCCCATGTGTTGATGGCCAGAGTGACACAGAAGACTCCAATGATGTTCATCACTATTCCAGATCTAACCTGTGAGGACAAAAGTCCAAACCAACAACAATAACCAAACACCAGCACAGCAAATTGCAGCAAAGCCTATCTGTACATACACAAGAAAGAAACATGGTCAAATAAATCACAGAAATAGCCATTGTACCCACTGCCCTATGTTCTTGCTTAAGTGGAAATACCAGGGAACACACTGTGCAAAGCCTGTGAATGCTTTGCTATGTAACTAGTCTAGGAGCCTTAAGGCATGTACAAGAAGTTGCTCTTATTAGTTAAAGAACAGCTTCTGCCCCCTTCAAGTCTCTAGTTAGAAAACCGATAACATTTGGGTGTTTGGCACAGAACCTGGCACTGTGTGGTTTGGCAGGCAATCAGAGGGCCAGAGCCTAGGGCAACTGATTGTTACCTTCTGCTTTCAGCTGCAGTGGAAACAAGGGCCAAAGCCCCAGAAAACTGGAAAGCACTAACTGCATTTTAACCCTTCAGTGTTTAACAGATTTACCGCTGGTCAGTTTTGCATTTCAACTTGGCTAAGCCACATGTCTGCCAAAGCCTATGAGAAAAGTACCATTACTCCAGAGATACAAATCCTTATTACAATATTAACAATGCCTAAGAGAAGGGCATAAGGTGATAGTTACAGCACGTAAGAGCTTCCTGCTACTTTGGAAATACTCAGCTAAGAAAATTAAACTCTCACCATATTTCAGGATAAAGGCAGTGGGAAGCTTCGGATAAGAGACCAGGCAATTATCATCTTACCATATCCAAAACACGAATGTGGCCATAGGAAAACACTATCGCATTTGGTGGCGTTGCAACAGGTAGCATGAAGGCAAAGGAAGCACTGAGAGTACCAGGCAGCATAACGTACAAAGGATGGATCTTGACAGATGCAGCCTGCAATGAAATGGAGAGAATATCACACTGAAGGTGTTCCAAAAGAAAAGCATACAGAACATTTTCCAGACCATTGAGACATACAGGCTACTTTAGTTTCCTGGTATTATATCACCAGAGTAATTTACAAGCATTTTACTCTGAAATCCACACATGCTTAAAGATAACTTTGGTCTCATTTCCTGTCCCACAATACTTTAAAACAATGCTTGATTCCTTCTTGTTTGTTTTACTTTATGGTATAATTTAGAGTTCTGGTCAAATTTATCTAACCATCTTTTCTTTGACCTCAGACTACACTTTTGCTAAGGCAACACAGGGATGGGATTACAATTACTAGGTATGTGGAGTAACACTCTTAGACATTACATAAACTCTGTGGGACTCAAAACTTAAGTGCCAATTTAAGTCGCTAATAGCTCTGCACCCTTGATTGGAATAGTTTTACTTTGATGAAATAGCCTAGAATCAAGCAGTTATACTTTCCAAATTAAAGAACAAAGAAACCTGGTTTTTCCTTTATGCTACAATTCCAATTCTGCTCAGAAAAGACAGCGGAACTTACCAGGTTTTCCTCCCTAAATTTTAAAATTCTTCTGGCTTCCTATGGAAAATGACAAATTTCTAATAATCAGGCCTACCACTTTCTATATTCTAGCATAAAACCCATGAAGATGAAGGAAACATTCAAAGGGATTAATAGAAAGTGCTGGATTTTGTTTTGGTTTGGGTTTTTTGTGTGTGTGTTTTTCCAGTTCCATGTGGATGGTTCAAATACAAAATGACCAGACGTAACTGACATTTGTTGATCTGTATTAAAAAAGTGACACTCACTTCACTTTTCAAGGGTCAAGGACACACCTTACAGAAGGCTTGAACTGTCTTCCCTTTCTGTGAGGTTACCATGGGGTAGGCATCCTGAATTAGCTTCTTCCCCCAAGAAGCTAGTTCTCAGTCTTCAGGCATAGAGATAGAGCAAATGGGATAAAGTTTATATTCCTGCTTTCTATCTACATATGATGCTATAAACATAGCAGTGAACACCAGGTAAAATCACTATCCATTATGGTATACTGCCAGATGGACTGTTTCATTGATGGCTTTCAGATTAACACTGGAACATTCAAGACAATAAATACAATAATGCTTTGCCACTGGAGACTATCAGCTTAACTCTGTTCTCCCAGTTGACAGGATAACAGGATAGAGATAATCTTACCATGGATGAAAAGACTGGTAGGAAGAGGGTGGCTGTGGCGACATTACTGGTGCATTCGGTGAAGACAGCTATAATAAGTGAAAGTACTGTTGCAATGGCCCATGGTGGGATAGATCCTAGTGGAGTCATTTGATGACCCAGCCAAGCTGAGAGCCCAGAGTTCTGACAAGAAAAAAAAGTGGTTTTCAGTGAGGTTTAGAACCCCTAGCTCATGAACAGGGAACTCATGTTATGTGTAGCATTCCCACTAAATAATGCTAAATGACTCCTGAATTATATAAACACCATCCGAGAAAGTACAATGATCTGTCACAAACACAAAGAAGTTCTGTACTAACTAGACATAATACTGAGTCCCACTTTCCCAATTTTTCTGGAACTCAACTACTTGCTCACACTTTGGTTAAAAAATTATGGGTTTTTTGCTAAACAGAAATATTGCTGAAACTACTGCAAATACTTCATGTATCACTCAGAAGTTTAATGTTTGTTCTAAGGTTTCTGAAGATACTGATGCTCTATGAATGCTCTGTTGTAGAAACATAGGCAGTGATTGACTCAAAACAGCTTACAAAACCTTTGACGCTATGGCTTCTAATGCTCTGGAGCTTTAATAATGGATATATGATGTAAGTAGATGAATGTAAGGCCCTAGAGCTTTAATTTGTCCCATGGTTTAAAACTACCTAGCCACAAAACTTAGATCTGAATATGAATTTCCCCAGAGCACGGCCCTGTTGATAGCTAAAGCTTACTTTGATTTAGATGCATCTTAGCAGTAATGAAGGAAACAGTATGGTTCACCTCAAGACTCTTTCCTGTTTTGGGAATTCAGCTGCCTTTTCTGTGAATTTATGAACACAGGATCAAACCATGGGTTTATGGAATGAAGCATATTGCCTGGCAACAGTGACTGACAAGAAGTTCAAGAAACCCCACTGTACGCAATTTTGGAAGATATCCACCCACATTGATTTTCTTCCTGACCACTTCAGTAGTGGTTTGGTTTAAATCTGAAGATACATATCCTTTAAACAAACCTCAAATGGTTCTGAAAATCTTACAAGTGTTATCTATACTTCTATTTTTCTATCCAGGGCTGGGATCAGGATGATAACAGAAATAAGAAAGGCTGCTTTCTGGTCTGTCCAGTCAGTGAAGATTCCAAACTACTCGGCAGCCTCCAAAAGGTAAGATAAATTGAAGAAACTTGGTCAGAGCACACAAATTCCTGAAAAAGAGGCACAAAGATTCACCTCTCCTTCCAATTCCTGCTAATTTGGATCTGCCTCCAGATCTGAACACTTCTACTGGGTTTGGCTTTGGGTGCATGCCCAGTAATACAGGACTAGATAACAAACCAGGGAAGTTCGCCTTTGAGTCAGAGAAAAACAGATGTCAGGACATACTGCGCTTGCATCAGCCAAAGCAAAACCTCCTCCCAGCAGCAGCACAATGCTCCAGGGCATCTTCCTCTGAACCACATTCCAGTCTAGCAGCGGGGCTGATAAAAATGGCTTTTTTATATCTGAAGTGAGAAATGAAAAGCAGAACATGTTTTAGGAGAGTGAAGACATTTTGTCTCCTGTTCTATAAGATACTAAGGAAAGACCCAACAGGCAGATGCATACTACTGAGAAGCCTGCACAGGGCAAGGGTAATACATGTGAGCAGGGACCATGCCCAAGCCCTGCCCAAGAAGCAAGGGAGATGATCTACCCTGAAGAACTGCATGCAAATCCAGTATATGTTTCTGCCATGTTAGCTGGAGCTGTCTAACTGTTTCCGTGTTACAATTCCTCTTTCAAATACCTTCTTCAGTCTGTTCAGGGTTAGAAATGCTTGGATTCCAGCCTATGAATTTGGGTTTATTAGCAGGAAGGATAAACAGTAGCAGGGCAATAAACACAGCAGGAGCAGAATCAGTGATATACCTAAAAAAGAAAAGAGAATATAGTTTAGAAAATAAACAACTTTCTCGTAGAAGATGGATGCCTTCAAGCGTTGCAGTCACTGATCTTTGTCATCCTGTCTGGGTACTGTACCTGAGCAGAATGGGTCACTAGTTCATTGACTGAGGTCTATCAGACCTGCCACAGCACAAAGGCAGTCATAAAAGAAACTAGATACAATACACATTAATAACCAGAGTCACAGACGACAACAGCTTGTGGGAGCAGGGCTCCTTCTCTGTGGTGAAGCCAAGATTCAACAGCTGTATCTCAAAGAAAGATGTGTAAAGAAATGATCTGAATGATAGTCCCATCATGTATTTTATGTTCTTAATATGCCACAGACATTATGCAAAGAAGCCATTCAAAGCACCAAATCAATTTCCCTGTGAGTGCTAAGCTATTGTTTAGAGGTGATATTACCAAATACTCAAATGACACCACAACTGGTTAGAGCTCGTACAAATAAAACATTAATGTGTACATCAGTGTGACTGAGACCAGCATTACAGAATTTTCTCTTCCTTTAGGAGGTTCAGCTTGGCCATGTCCCAGCCTCCAATTTCATTACAGTACAAACTGCCAAACAATAAATCAACTGGTGAGCTCACACACAAGCAATAGGATCAAGCCTAGCAAACATGTGAATTCAGATAAGGTTGGAATGAATGACCCTGCACTCAAAATTGAATGTAAGAGCAAGGAAATCTGATTCACAGCCAAGAGGGTATAGGAGGAAAAAAACCCTAAAAACTTACTTTTCTCCTTCTGGAAAGAGCCTGGTGGCCCAGCCTTTTACAAAGCCTGGGTGTCTGGAAAACCATAAGAGAACCAGCAAAACAAACATTAGGAGGACATTGAATTCAGCATAAGAGATAGGGCCTAATTTCTTCATTTCTGCCTTCAGCACGTTGTATGCAGCTTTTTCTTTAGCTGTTCTCTCTGTCCCACAGCCCCAGCTTTTTTTAAAGCTGTAAGAAAAAGGGAGAAGAAAATACTGTAAATATGAACATGCTACAAGGATTTAACATGCTTGCCACTCTGAAGCTGTCACAGACTACAGCAGAGGCCAGGAACAAAGAAATAACAAGTGTCAAAGTATTTAATTGGGACATGCCAGTTCTCACAGAAGAATGGGATCTATGAATGGATGTAAGTCTCTGTCCAGTTTGGAGCAACCTAGGAAATAAAACTCAGTTTTGAATAAAGGGTAGCAAAACAGATATGCTTGTTCTCCTACAGCTGAAATTCACAGGGGTAAAATTGAAAAAAAAAAAAGGCAATTCTGTCTGAACATTAAGAATGTATAAAGCTTTTGCCTTAGTGCAACTCCCATGAACACAAAAGGTTTCCAGACCTCAAAAGTTGCCGTGAAATGGAACAAAATGACTTGTCAATGCATTTATTTTATCCAGATTTCTCAATAAGCTGATCTGCAGTAGCTGAGGGGTTTACACAATATTATGTAGTTAAATACTCACTTGAGTCCCATGAAGGAGCACTGTAACCAAAGCCAAGCTAGTACCAACATCAGAATCATGTTTGGGAATGCAAATCCAAACCAGGAAGCAAAATTCACAACATCATTATTTTTGGGGTATAACCTGAAAAGAAAAATGCTTTCTGTATGAATGTAAAAACATTTAGTAATCTACTCTCCCTTTAATATGTGTTAGTGACAATTATACATGTAAATCTAGGACAACCATTACAAGTAATCATAGGCAACATCTACACCCTAACTGAGGTTGATAGGAAGGCACCCTGGGTTTCAGAGCATGCTTAAATGATCCTGTTTTCCCTGTATTCTACTTTAGTGCATACAGGAGCTCATGTTGATATTTTAGGTGTCAGTCAGACAAGCGCTGCTGAAAGATCTCCCACGCATTCTAGGTACCTTTCACTTTTGACATGCCTGCTCATTTATCCCAAGACATAACGTTCTTTCTTCCTCCCCATTCATTCCAATGAGTGAGCAAGAATTCTTTCCTGAAATTAATAGCTGCACTTCTGCTTACTTCAACAGCAGACAAAGTTGCTAGTTGGCTTAAAAGAAAGAAGCCAGTGTTTTAAGAACAGCAATTTTTGTTCTTCCCTGTGTCCGCCAATAATGACTGAAGTTAAAATATCAATAGCAAATTTCCAGCTGGGTGTTAACACCAACAGGTAATGTGGCAGCTGAGGTTGAAGTACTCCCAACAGAAGGAAGCAATGTTGATGGACTGCTGTGGAGTCTGCAAAATTTCCACTGTAGATTAGGTTGCATTTAAATCAATTCTCAAACTCAGTTTAGCAAAGACAGTATTTTGTGTATAACACCTTTCATTTATAACGGTATCTGTACAGTTTCCACAGCCACAGCATGGAGGAATAGTATTATAGGAGAAGCTAAGATATTTTTAGCTCTCTTTGATGTGCTCATGAGAAGAGTTAATAAGACATTCTTCTAATGCTCTTCACTGCACTTCCTCTGCTGCATTCAAGTGAACAAGGTGAGTCAGAAGAACCAGTATCTTATGATCAGCTAGCTGACTGCCAATTACCAGCAAGTATTTCCAAGTTTCTGAGGAGACCTATAATACCAGCATATAGCTGCCTAAAAAAGGCTGAAGCAGAAAAATGAGGCCCAACACTTCATTTACACTCCTCATTCTCAGTTCATTAACTGGTTATTGCTTTTAGTTTGCGACTGGAACTGTTATCTAAGACTAGTCAGTTGGTCACAGAAACAGTAAGACAGTATAAGTAAAAGAAACAGCAAGAATGACTTACTGATTCATCTGTCCTTTCAATACCATGTTTGGTCCTGTTCCAGTAAGTGTTGCAGTTCCTCCAATGCTGGCAGCATAGCATACACAAAGTGTCATTCCCTTACATATACGCTTCCTTGTTTTCTTTTCCTCAGAAGATCTGGGGTCATCAGGGACTTGGCCATTGCTTATGACTAGACACAAAGAACATGACTTGCCTTAAGTAAAGTTAGGGAGGTAGAGAGTTCAGGACATGGTCTGCAGGCTCAGTGCTTCCAGTTTGTGTATGCCATTTATTTTAATTCAAAAAACCCACAGATACGTCCCTAAATACTTTGGACTAATGTTCATATGGAGCTGAATAGAGAGGTTGACAATCTGGGTCTATACGATCCAAGAACGCTGTTGTCCATATCAGTGCCACAGTTTCTTGGCAGTAATTTCCTGTTTTACAGAGAGGCTTACCACCAGTCAGATATTGTCACTGGAACCATTCCAATACCACAGTAAGAACCCAACTAGCTTTAGCAGCTGTGAATATGGGCAGAAAAAACCCCACCCAAAACCAAATTCTTGCCTGGCATAACTAGTAAGATCAGTATGTTATGTCAGTTTACATCAACTGTGAAATTTTGCTACTGTGTCCATTGTTCTCTGAGGTTAACAGTCTAATCTTGAAGTCTGACTGGACTAATAGAGCAGGACAATTTATTTATGGCAATTACAACCAACTCAACAATACCAAAGAGTATTTTTTTGCACACATTTATTACCTTCACTACATGTTAAAATAAATTAGTCAGCAAAGCCAACCAGATCCTTCTAAGTGGACAGAAAACCAGCAAAATTATTATTACTGGTCTTAGAGCAGAAGTCTGGTTTTGGGAGTCAAGAATCAACATTAAGAAGAGCATTTGCAAATATGAAAACTTATAGTTAATACAACTGTTTAGAAGCTAGAAATGAGCAACATTACAGAGCACTCTGTGACCAAGTGGCATTCTTGTGGGCCTGCACATCTCACATAAACATGGTGTCAAGCTCTCCACAAACATAGCATGTGCTCCTTTCACAGTGAGGTAAGAAATGAAGCAACCAAAAAGCAGAGATCACGTATCAAAACTGTGCCTGCAAGGTCCAAACAGATATGGCTGTTATGAGTCAATCTCATAGCAGAGCAACGTCTCGCATACATAAACACCCCTCTTCTACACTGTGTCTTCCATGGACATGTAAGCCAGAAAATGGGCATGGTGCATCCCAGGCAGAAGGCTTGTACTGTGGGACACAGTAAGCACACACCAACATTTGCACTTGTTCTTGCACACAGTCACACAAGGAATCATGACAGATTAACTTGCTAATTCAGTGAAATCGCATCTCCATGAAAATCCCCAAGACAATCCTTCCTCCTCTGAAAAAGAAAGGCACCACAGATCTGATCTTTAATGCTATTTAATAATATAGCCCTTTGTAACAGCACAGTAGAGCAGTAACATCAGAGGGACTGAGTTTGTGCACATGGTTCAAATCAAGTGAAACCTACTGCAGAACCAGAGCATTGACAGAATGACCTTGTGGAGTCAAGCATCAGGGTAAGATCACATTTTAAACTGTTCCAAAGAGTAGTTTGTCTACTGTGAGTCAAATGACACCATCTCCTCTTTCCATGTAGCTTTTAAAGCATTCCTCCTTCTTTTCCTCACCTCCACATACAATCTGATCAATAAAGAGATATTTACTACCCCAGAACCAAAATAGGTTGCACTTGCACAAAATTTTTCAAACACTCCTACATGGCTTAGAAGCTGAATCCCCACTGATGATCACAAGATTTAGAAAGTGAGATGCTGGGAGGTTGGATATTTCCCACACACATGCTTTTCACCTCCTAGAGCAGGCAGTTAAGACTAGGGAAATTACGGGGGGATGACCCCAGCTCGAAGAAAGAACGTAACAATCTGAATGGGATCTTAGCACTAAGCATAACAAAATGGCAGCCACCAAAACTGGAAGCCATTTTGTAAAACCTATAAAAAAATCTTGCCTTTAGGGATTTTAAGGCAGGTCACCACCCTCTTTCCTTGGAAAAGGTGCAGAGAACTCCTTTTAGGTCAGGGAGCTCCAAGTTCAGTAGAATCAACTCACTGCGGAGTAGGCCCTTACCATGCACTGAAGGGGGATCTGATGCATTCTTTTCCTCCAGCTCAATCACTGTATTTGTTTGCCCGGTTGCTTGTTCCATCATGGTCACATCATACTCTGTGTTGTCCATTTGATCCAGGACAGCCTGGACAATAGGAACCATCATAGCAGTGGTGGCTGTGTTACTTATCCACATGGACAGGAAGGCAGTGACTATCATAAATCCCAGCATGAGGCTGAAAAGAGAGAAGCAGGCAGAGGAGAAAGGATGAAAGAAAACAGACGCTGCTGGGCTTTGTAGTCACTGTAATTTAGAAAACAGACCCCAGGCAGGGATGTGTGTAGCATCCAGTAATACAAAGCAGGGACAGATTCCCTTCTAGGACAGCTCTGCCACCTTCATTGAAGGAATCCCAGGAAACCATTTAGCTCCTTAGTCTGCACATGATTAAGTCTGTCATAATTTTGTCCCCAATGGCAAGCATCTAGAATTTAGCCAGATGATGGTTTTGGCTAAAGGACAAATGAACTGTTTCTGCTGACAGACTTCACCTCTGGAAACTCTGTATAAGTGCAGCTAAAAGGTTCTTGAAGGTTCCCTTCTCTGCTATCTGTTAAAACACCATCCCTAGGCCTCTGCTAAATTGACAGAGGCAAGGAAGAAGTAATGTAATACTCTTACAGTGCAGGTTTCACCCCAAGAATCAGCAGGACCCTCAGTGCAATCCTTTTGTGAAGATTCCACTGTTCAACAGAAATTGCAACAATCAGTCCTCCAACAAAGAGCATGTTTGTATCATTTAGGTACTGCAAGCACACCTGAAAGACAGAGAACATAAGTCAGGGGCCCAAATGTTGTCTCTTGCTAGATTCACTAGTACATTTTGCCTTCCATCCTCTCAAGGCTATTCACTGCACTAGGCCCCACCCCAACACCAGCAGAAGGGGCAGTTGCAGCCTCAGAGATACCTCGTTTCCTGAACCCTTGATCCCCTGTTTAAGTGCTGAACTGCCCAGTACAGGGGCTCTTTGTGCATCATGAACCTTCTTTTTTAGATCAGGAGTTAATAAAATGACAGCAGGTTCCCAAAATATTGTTAGGGGCTCAAAGTATTGTGTAGGTCTTAGAAATGATGAGTTCAAAAATGTATTTCTCAGCACCTTTAGCAACCACACCTGCCACTACCAGCGTGTTGGCCAACAGTGAACCTGGGCTACAGTACCTAAATACAGCCTCTCTCCCCTGCGATAAAGCACTAGCACAGCCAGAATGACCTTTGGAGAGGACACAGTGTACTTGCCGGCATCATGCTGTCTACACTGTCAGAAGTTTGTCCTGTGCATTTTGAAATCTCCTAGAGGATATGTCAGCACTGCTCTCTCATGGGATGGGTTATGAACACACAAACTGCTGGCACTAGTGGGACGCTCTCCAGCAGGACTCAAGCCCAGAAACAGACCTTCTTCTCTACCATCTCAAGCCCCACACTGTTAATGTTTTGGGTAAATATGGATTTAGTTCAGCATCTTCCCATACAGGAACCCTGAACACTGCTCAGTATGTTCAAAACCAGCAACACAGAACTAGAGCGCTTTCCTATCAGACTTGTTTGCTAAATATTGATGGGGGATCAGAGCAATGGATATCCCTGTATCAGGTCCGGATTGAGCAAGTTTCTTACTGATTTAGAGCTCTGAACTCCAAGCAGAGGGAAAAATACCACAGGCATGAGGGAGGTAACAGCCAGTGGGATCACTTCGGTGCACCAGTAGACAGCCATGATGATGATGATATATGCACATTTGGCCTCCTGCAATATAATGGAAGACACGTTTAAGAATAGATAACTATTTTTAAAGATAAGAAACACATTGGTAGGTCTTATAAGGGGCCCAAACACTACACTGTCTGTAGCTTAACAAGTTATGCTGAAATAGGTAGCAGAGATATGTAGACTTAAACTTGTACTTTTAAACCTTGTTCTGAAGTCTCTTGCATAAAAAGACCTTTTTGACCACAGTGATTGTTCTAATGCACCCACACAAAATGTAGGGTATGAGAAAGACAAACCTTTCACAAATAGGTAAGCACCCAGTTTGTAGCGTGCAATTACCTCTTGGTAGTTGAGGTGAGCAGGTTTCATATCTAGGAGCCAAGAATTTTTAATAGTGTTTGTAGATTTGGGCATTTCTATTTTGAGTTAATTATTTTTAAATTGATATCCAAATTTCCCAGTGTGGATGATTAGCTTGTCTGAAATTCACACATCTTTGAGGTATGTCCAGTAACACACCCGCGTCCAGAAACTGTATCACTGAAAAATTTAGAAGTTCTTAACTTTTCAAAGTAACTCTTAAAGTAAAAATTTTACCTTTTTTTACAGTGAATAAGCACGTTAGAGGTATTTAATTACTTTCCCAACTCATACTGTGCTTACCTATTAAGGGGATTCCCTAGATTAGAAATGTTGTAACCTGTCTTTTTATAGTTGATCAGGCATTTTTGTAACTTAGCCTTCCTTGGTTTGTACTTTCAAAATTGTTACGAGAAGCAAACATTCATTAGCCAACAGTAAACAGTGTTTTAAAGCTTAAGTCAGTGTTCTGCAGTTCAGAATTTGCTCATATTTAGAGTATGTGTTTATAGGATTTTATTCTAATACAACAAATGGGACTTTATTGCAAAAATAAATGGTGTTACAGTGACATTTAAAAATTGCCGTAAGGTGATATTTATAAATAGGGGTGTGTTTTCCTTCATTTTGTTGAGAAGCTTAAGAACCAGAAAACAGCCTTTGTAAGCAATTTGATTTTTTTTTTTCTTCAGGTTTCCAGGAGATTAATTACAGCAGAAGTTTTGAAAAAAATATTTCCAGAGACTAAAAGATATCAGACAGATCCTATTTAAGTCTGTTCCCTTAATAAATATGAGGTGAGGTCATGATACAATTTATGCTGTACCACAGTAACTAAGTGCTAGAACTGACTGTGGTTAATCTGTTGCCAGTATGAAAGACAGATAAACAACCCTAAGTGAATAAAATTCACAATACAGAAGAAACACTGGTTTCGTAGAGTGGAGAGTAAATAATTTATGTTCAAAAATACAACCATGCTTATAAATTAACTCCAACAACCACAGCCAATTCAAACAACCAATGATCTGGAATTAAAAATATATCTGTATCTATACCTATATCCATCTGTGATTTATGGGAACAGTCACAGAATGTTTCTTTGGTGTCTCTGTACAGTTGACAAGAAACACAGTGATCTGCTTTCTCATTGAGAGCTGTAAAAGCAGTTACTGATGGGTATGTTACTCTCTCATTGTGAAATACTGTAATTTCCCAGATTAGACTGATGACACAATATTCCCACAAATACCGGAAAAAATGAAGACATTCTTATTTTTCTAGGGAAACTATCTTTGCTAGTATTGATTTAAGTAGTACCTAGCAATCAGGAATTTCTCTTTCTATAAAGCACCAGCATTCAACTGAAAGGGAAGGCTGGCAGTATTTAGACAGGTAAACCAGAATGGCTAGCAATTTTCTTTATAAGCATGTGTGACATTTTCCTCTACTTTAAAATACACTGAGCAATACAGGTCACTCAGTAGAAAGAGTGTTTTCTGCATTAGAATAGCCTCTAAAGCTCTCTAAGGCTAAAATACTGTAAACTGAGATTTCACATTTTGCCAAGGCTACCAGACATTAAAGACCAAAGTCTTCACTGAGTTATTCCAATTTTATGCTGGTATAACTCCACTGAAAGCAAAGGAGTTGTGGCATCACCCTCAATGAAGTAAGATGGATGTGAATTTAAGGATATTGCATTTGAAACCCTGTTAACCATCACTGCATAACACACAATGCATGGCTTCTGATTGCACCACTGATGAAGAATGCCACTCAGCAACGCTCCTTGAAGTATCTCAATGCCTCAGCAGTGAGTGAGCTGGAAAACTCAGAAGTCCTGTCTTTCAGTGTATTGCCATCATTACTGGATAATGCAAAACACAATTCTAAATGTGCGGGCCAGCTATGTATATATTTATATTTGGCCCAAAAAAGAATTGCATTGAATTTGCAAGATGGGTTGGGTCTGTAGGAGCCCCAGGTCCTGGCAGTGGCACAGCCGTTAGGATAAACAGAGATTGGCACAGAGTTCCTTCTGCAAGTTCAGCTGCACAGCACCGGTGTCTGAAGAGAATTTGGGAGTGACACCCGAGATCTGGGACTGAGTAGCTAGCTGAGCTGCACAGAAATGCTTCAGGGAGAAGGTGGCAGGAAGGATCTGCCTCAGTCCACTGTGGGGAAGTGGAACTGCCTTGGCAGGGATCGGCACTGCTTGCTCAGGTGGCAAAGGAGATGCTGTGGCGAGGGCAGCCTGGGTGGCCAGTGCTGCGCTGGGTGTCTGGGGCACGGCGCTGCACCGGGCGGGCAAGCGGGCTGGGTGCCCTGCAAGCCTGGACAGGGCCCTGCGTGGTGGGCTGGGACAGGGGATCCTGGGCAGCAGGGCCCAGACCTGGGGGCTCTGGTGGGGCAGCGGGACCCAGACCTGGGGGCCAGGGGATGGGATCCCTTGGGGCAGCAGGACCCACACCTGGGGAGCAGAGAGGTGGGCTCCTGGGGGGGAGCAGGGGCCGGACCTGGGGGCCAGGGGATGGGATCCCTTGGGGCAGCAGGACCCACACCTGGGGAGCAGAGAGGCGGGCTCCTGGGGGGGAGCAGGGGCCGGACCTGGGGGGGGCTCTGTTCTCCGCGGGGGCGCCGCAGGCACTTACCCGCGTCGGCACAGCGACCGGCAGCGGCAGCAGCAGCAGCGGCGTGAGGAAGAGGATGGCGAAGGACCAGTACCTCAGCAGGGGCCGCAGGCACGTCGGGGCCATCTTCTGTGGGGACACACGGTCAGGGCGCGAGCGGGAGCAGCGCCCGCCGCTGCCGCCTTAAGTACGGGGCGGCGGGGCCGCGGCGGGAGGGACATGGCGGGGGGCGACGCGACCCGCCCGCGCCCTGACGGAGGCCGGCCGCCCCCGCCCTGGCGGGACACCGAGCCCGCCCGCGCCCTGACGGGACCGGCCGCCGCCGCCCCGACCGGACACCGGGCTCGTTGCTGCCCTAACGGGGGCCGGGCCGCCGGTAGCGGTGCAGACGCGGGCCAGGAGCGAGGGAGCCGCAGGAGAGCAGCCGGTCTGGCGCCAGCCCGGCGCCCCTGCCCCGCGACGTCCCTCCCGCGCCGGGGCCGGCCGGCAGCAGCCCTGCGGGACGCGGTGCCGGCAGCCGCTGCCCGACACCGGGGAGATTGCCTCAGCCTGAGCCGGACCCTGCCGGCCCGCTCCATCGCACGGGCGCCGGGCCGTGCCACGGGGCGTCTCCTGCTTCCTTAGGTCCAGCTCTGTGCTCCTGCCTCTGCAGACCTTCCACAAACAAGGAAAGCTGCATAACGGCAGTGTATCAAGCTATCGCACCAGTTGTGAGAATGTTTTAAGAAAAACATCCCTACTCATTATGCCTACAGAAAGTTGCCAGCAAGCACAGATTCTCACAATGCGTACTACACGCAGGCACTGGAGTGCTGCCACGCAGCTCCTCTCAGGTGCTGGACTTCCAGGAGGTGCTGGTGATGTCAAGGAAGGATCACATCTCCCTCATTTACAGAGTGGTGAGGAAGGACTAGTCCTTTAGGGAAATGGAGAGTTAAAACCACAGTGGGGGTCTCCCCAAAACAAAGGTCTGTGCAGGCATGCATGGCAGTGTTTCACCGCCCATTATTTTGTGAGGGATTGTGTGTCTGCGATCTGGGTTAAAAATAACCCAGAAAGGTTAACTTGAAAGGTTATTCTTAATGTTCATTTCGATGATTTGGTCCACAGTGTAGGCACAGAATCAGAAGTGATGGCACTACTGAAAGGTTGGCAAGCATATCAAGATGGCAGAAACGTACAACTGGAGGGACTGGGAACTAGACTGAAGACAAATAACTTGTTGATATTGTATGTTCTGCTTCTGGGATGTCAACAGCCACCTGAAATTGAAGGCAGCAGAAGTCATATCTTGGCAATTCGATCCTGCAGTCTATTAGTACAGTCTTACCAAGCAATTACTCAGAGAAATAAAAAATTTCAGATTCCACAGCAAGTAATGAGGGAGCTCTGACTACAGCTTGCACTATTTGTCCTCTGCTGACCAGAGGAACTTGAGTGACAGAAGTTCAAAACAAGACACTCCAATGTTACTGTTCTGTTTGTAAATGCAGCGAATGTCCACTAAGGAAAATAGTAGCCAACCGGATCTGGACAGATTCCAAATCTTCAAACCTTTAGCAGCAGTCCCTCTGGGTAACTTACCAACACAGAGGAAACTTCACACCAGTGCAAAGCCTAGCAGAAAGTGGGGAATCAGCCAAAACTTGCATTCCTGTGGCTAGTCTCCAATGAAAAAATGGTCGCTAGTCAACAAAGGACTATAAGCACTTAAATAGGAAAATGCAAAGAGTTAACTCCAAAGAAGTTGTATTAAGGTTTACTTTGATAGACCAGTGCAAATATGATTTGCTGTCTTGTTTAAATGGAACACAGTGCAGAAAAAATAAAGAAAATAAAGAAAAAGGCAATGAACGTGTTGATACCTTTAGTTGGACTAATCCTGTGAAAGGAGACTTGCATGCTGTATCTGGGAGTGAGATCAGGGACTCCTGTGGGCAGTCCCCCATTAGCCAGTCCATGCCTCAGTGTCCTCTTTTGTCAAATACAGAGAAAGGAATCTATATTTCCTTATTGCGCAGGATTATTGCAAACTTGCCTTCAGTGTGCCATGCATGCCATGCAAAGTATGTTCTATGATATGGAACAAAACAGAAAAAAAAAAAAGCATTCACAGGAAAGAACAAGCATCTGAATAATAGGAAATCAGACTGAAAGATAGTGGAGTACCTTCTTGTGCTGTTCATATAGCAACTGTCAAGCAGAACGGTATACCCTTGGGAGGAGAAGGGGAGGGATACGAGAAACACAGTGTTCCCTAGGGCTCTTAGGAACAGCTGACTTGGGACAGGGATGAGAAGATAGTGCAGGCCTCTCAACAGATTATAGAGCAGAAAGGAAGGAGCAAAGTAGGAAAACAGGGCGATGTCAGTGAAGACCAGCAAGTACCTGATGCTTAGAGATAAATATGCACTTCCCATTCCAGTGGAGCTGCCTGGTCAATAGCAGTTGAATGAGAGAGGGACATATAGGAACAACACTGAGTCCAGATGTGAAAGAAAGCATGTCTGAATCTTTATCTGAGCATGTTTTCATCTGAGATCTGGGTCCCAAACTAAACAACTGTAATCTTTCCATGAATCAAGACCAGTACTGATAAACTGAGTTTAGAAACCTAAATTTAAAGGCATTCGCTGCACTTTGACTAAAGCAAAAGCTGGGAAAAATCTTAAGTGTGACCATGGAAATGAGCAACTTCTATTTCTTTACTTTTTTTTTTTTTTTGCAAAAGTAGGCTCCTTTTATAGAGGATTGCTTCTGGAGGAGAGCAGGTTGGTTTGCTGGAGTACATGTGAAATATTTGTTGATGAAAAATGGCTGTGCTTACTCTGCTGAGAAGAAATCAAATTAGTGCTAACTACAGTTCCTGTGGAAGTCTGCTAGGAATTCAGCTAAAACCAAGCAAAGGAGCTGGTTGTTGCAGAGCAGCAAGGACAAAGTCCTGCACCGAACTGAACCTGTAATCTTGAAAAGTAAATTCTGACCTTGTTACACCCTTACTCAAGCCATCCGGCCACTGCACACTTTCTATTTAAGATACCCCCATCACTATTTTGTAAACCATTGGAGGTTTACACGTGTCAAGTCATGCTCTATTGTAAGAACCAGCAGGCCAAGAAGTTGACCAAATCCTGATGTTAGAGCCACATACTCATATATCATTGCAAACAGTGACAACATGGGCAGGAAGAAGACTGAGTGAGGACAAGAGAGAAGACACCTACATTCCGATAAGGAGGTGGAGAAGCTGTGCAATGCATAGTCATGATACAGGAAGGGAAGAACGTGATTGGATGAAATGGGGGAAGAGAGCAGATTACAATGCAGGACAAGGCTGGGCACTTCTCTCTAGGTGATCAGGATGCACCAAGACAGAGAAGCACAGAGCAGCATGTTCGATTTGGCAAGTCTTCCAGCTGTTAGCTATCTCCTTCAGTCTATGCTTACAACTCAGTTACATTTGGCAGTGTCTGGATACGAGTGCTACAGGAATGGCAGCTCTTTCACATAACTTGTCCATGAGCTTCCTCTTCACGCTGCCAAGGGGAAGGCAGACAAAGCTTTAGCTGCTTGCTTTACAGAACTAGTGTGACAGCTGAGCAAAAGGAAGTTGCTGAGAGCCCATCGTGTTTGCAAAACCTCCAGCAGGAGGAGTTTTAGATGGTTCAAAGAGAGCATTCAAACAAAAACCTCCCACAGCCTGAAATTCAGCTCATGCTAATTGAGCACTAACTGCAGGCCTTCAAGAAAAAAGAACCCTTTCCTCCAGTCAGTACTGCTGAACATAGCAGAGACCAGAGCAGTATTTACAAATATGTATGTGAGATGTGTGATTTCATGGTCTTTAAATACTGCTTTAAAGACAGGAAAAATTAGCTTTTGGTTATAGACAACATTTAGAAGTGGGAGACTGTAGCAGCCTTTGGGCTAAATTTTGAGGTTGTTCTTCTTGGTAATAAGTTTCAAATCAGTTTACAAAGGAACTCAAATCTTTGTATTACAGAAACTTAGGCACGGGTGGTGACATGAAATAGAACCAGGAGGTGAATTAGGTCTCTTGTACCTGAACCCATTTCCCTGGTTACTATACACCACTGCTCCCATTTGCTACTGTGCTACCCTAATAAACACAGGTATTTTAAAGCATATCAAGAACCACGGGTATGATGTGGTAACAGAGCCAAGCCCATCTCATGGCTCACTGCCACTGACCTGCCTTGGCTTTCTTGCCATTTCTCAGCTGATGGCTCTGGGGCTCATTGAAGCTTAACTTGACAAAGAAAGCAGAACATTTTTCTGCAGAGTTAGTGAGCTGAATAGGTTCAATGAACTGTTCAGTGAGTACCAGAGCCAGCTCAAGAGACTGGGCCGCTTATAGCCCATTGTTCTCTTATGGGAACAGTAACAGCTGGGACAGGAACAGCCACACCTTTCCAGAGAGCAGATTCATAGATGAGCTTGACAGCATTATCAAACCACACACAGACTCTTGCAGTCTTTCCTTCTGTGCTTCAGATGCCAGATTCAAGGATGTAAGCCACTGTAAAGAGTTCCACCCTGAAGTGGGACACCACTAAAGACTAGTTAACAAAGGCTGACCTGCATTGTTTGGGTTAGTAGAAAGGGACTAGAAATCAAGTCTTCTTGAAAGGTAGGAGTTCCAGGGTCATCAGTCCAGGTGGAAAAATTGGAAAAGAAATATTTTAGTATAGCTGCTTTTCTGATATATCTTACTCTCTACAAGCGAATCGGCCCAGTTACTTATTGCTGGATAGGAATGGTCTGTGGCATGGAGGCTTTACAGGTAGCGGTTGATTCACTTAATTACAGATATACATATTTTCCACCTCTGATTCAAATTCTGTCCAAGCACACAAGTATAGTTTGCCTGTTTTAAAGCAGTCTATTTGACTTAGAAAACTGCTATTTCCTCTCAAGACAAAAACTCTCCTCATATTCTTTTTAAAGTTCTTTCATGTTTCAGGCTTCATGCAACACCTGGAGGTACAAAAGTTTTAAGAAAATTATATTAAACAAGGACTGTAAGACCTATCATACTTGACACTGAGAAACAGAAATTAAAACAACTGACCCTGAGACATTCTAGGACTTAGCAGAAAAAGAAGTGTCCTCTACCCAGGCTTTTGAAAATCACATCTAAAAAACAACTAGCTTAGAACTTACCTCTATGTGATGCTTGACTTAAAGATGCCTAGAAGAGGTCTTGTACAATAATGTTATGCACTGGAAAGTTTACACAGAATTTAAATGGAAAGAGTTATTACCAGCATTCAGAGAAAATCACTGTTTCATTACTTTCCGTTTTCCCTCCAATCAGTACTTTCCAGCCACTGCCAGTCCACTCTGTTGCTTTAGGAGTATCTTTCAACTAAGTTCCCAGTGGAGCATCTGATATTTTTCCAAGAAAAGCTTTAGAGACTCTGAACGAACAGTCCTTTCAGTACAATCCCTGTGCCCAACAACTTTCTACATAAAAGCCCTCATTATGAATTTTGAGTCAGTGAGGTTTTCTCAGTCAGTGTGTGTTGCTGATCAAGCTTTCTTGACCTAGAATTGGTGTTTCCTGTATAGTTTGCATGAAGCCCTAAAGCACATTCAAATGCTGTGCAAGCTAATGACTACAAAAGAAAAAAAAAAAAAAAAAAAATCACATAAAAAAATTTGATTTGGAATTGGCAACTCTGTAACCTCTCCCTTAGCTGCCATCTCATTAACATATTTTTTCAAAAGCCTTTTCTCTGCTTCATTACATAATTTGTGTTAGAAAATTCAGATAAACACTCATTATTCCCAGGTCTAAATAATGGCTTATTTGGCTTCCTTTTTCTTCTGCTTTTATTTTTCCCAGAGAAAAATTGGGGACAGAAGGGGCTTGTTTGGATGGGAAATGAACCACACCAATTTCTGAGTAACATCTGGGACATCTGTTGTGTATGGTGTTACAATACATTATTCAAATACTGGTGAATGATTTTTCCCAGTACCCCTGCAAAGTAGGAGAGTTAATATGTCTGTCCCCATTTTACAGACTAAGAAGGTCAGTTAATATTTTCTGCATCTCCTTTATCTCATTATTCCACATCAGGCAGGGTCTATGACATCAAAGAGCCACTCCTGTCATGCTGCTGTAAGGGACGAGTTGTAGTGGCAGGTACAAGAAATCCTAGGCCTTCCATCAGAAAATCCTGAAGACACTGGCACTGTCATTGAAACAAAAACAAAGTTCTGTTCCTTTTTCTCTCTAAAATTTCTTCTGAAGTTCCCTATGTAAAAATTTAGAACTGTATCACCCCTAGCTGAGGTCCAGCAACTGGCAGGACCTGCTTGCACCTGGGGCCTCTAGTGCTGTTGGTCTGTCCCAACCATGACAGAGCATGACCAGGGAGAAAAGGCAGAGCTGGTTAAGGCAGGCTGGAGATCTCACCTTGCACATACTTTCGTAGCCTGAAGTGGTCTGAGGGTCCCTGGAGAAACAGTGGAGCCTGGGAGTGTGCTGGGGCAAGGCTGAACAGCCGTGTGGAGCTCAGTGCGGTGAGACTGGAGCACCAGTGCTGGGTTGCTCCCCCATAGTGTTGGTGGGCAATTATTTCCTCTTCACTAGCTGGCTATTTTTGTCTGAGTGGGACAGCATTGCCGCAGGGAGGCCAAGGTGGGTTTGTGAGGCTGGATACTACCATGACCACCACTGCAGAGATGGAGGGGGCTGCAGTGTGCCCCTGCCCTCCCATCTCCCTGCAAGCCAGCCCTGCAGCCTGTCAGCCTGGGAAGGCTGAGAGAGCGATGGCCGCGGTGGCATCCGCCTGGCGATGGCTGTGGCCGAGCGGGCAGCAGCTGTGGTGGGGTACAGGGCAGCTGCATGAAGAGCCCACTGCCCATGGGCAGCACTCCTGGGTCTGGACTGCAGTGCCTGAGGGTTTGTTTCAAGGTGCTCCCTTTCCCTATCTGCTGGCTCCTGCTCACACAGCAACCTGGTAGGCTGCATGTTACGGTTATCAGTAAAATACCACGAAAGGCGAATTTGCAGGCAGGGCTGCCATGCTCTCTGCAGGTTCCTCAGAGGAGAGGTGCTGCTGCTGCACCTGCACAGCTCACAGCACAGGTGCTGGGCAGGAAGGGGCGATGGGGCCTAGGGCTCCCCACAGTCATGGCTGCTCCAGGCATGGAGGGGAGGTGGTGGCCGCAGGGCTCCCTGCAGCCCTCGTGAGGCCTGTCCCCGTCAGTGATGCAGTGTCCTGCTACCTCTCACATCCCTGAAGCGATGGCGGGCGGGTGGCCTGCCGCAGCCTGCTGCCTCCCGCCTCAGGGAGCTGCGGGCTCCTCGGCGGGCTCTGCAGCAGGTGTGAGAGCTGCGGGTGCGGGGGGTAGCGGCCGCCCAGGTCAGCCATCCCTGCCGCAGCAAGGCAGCAACGGGCGGCATAAACCAGCTTCTGTAAATTAAACTTACTTGGGAACAAGGAAACCGACACACCATAGTTCCTCTGAGGACTAGTGAACTAATCTGCACGTGAAACTTGAACTTTAGTATTTGTTTGGTAATGCTGATGTTTCTCCTTTAAAGAATTTTTGGCTAAGCAGCTGTTTGGGGTGGAGTTACTGCAACAGAGGCTTTCAGTTTCGTTTTTTTTTCATCTTTGCTCTTAGGAGAAAGGATATCCAGCAGAATAAAAAGAAAAATAATGACAGAAGAGAGCAAGTTCTGCAAAAATTGGTAAGAGATCTTTCTGCCTCTCCATCCCTACAAAGTGTGGGGATTTAAAGATTTTCTAGGGTTTTCCTTAATGTTACCTAGGTCTCCTGTAATGGGGAGAAGGAACCACATTGCAGGAGGGGTGTATGCTAGCCATTGAGTAGTGGAGAGGTTTGTTCCATAGCCCTCTTCCATGCTGCATGTTCTCCTTCTACTTACTGTCACTTTGGGTAATTTTGTAGTATCTGGCAGAGGACTCTGTGCATGGACCATGCCAAACCCAGCAACTGCCTCAGTTTCCCCCCAAGGGTGATGTTTTTTCCTGTTGCTATATATGCAGTAAGGTGATTAAATATTTTTTTTTTTCCAAGATAATTGTCCATCTCTCATAGAATAGAAGGCTGAAAGGGGCCATGAGGATAGCAAGCATAGCTTGGTGTGTCTCAACTAATAGCTAGGCCGTTGGGCCAATTATATGAACAAAGACAGTGAAGCATTGCAATTAAAAAAAAAAAAAAAAAAAAAGAGTCAAACCTCAAAAGGTATCATGGTTTGAGCCTGGTTGGCAGCTTAACACCACGCAGCCACGATCTCCCCCTTCTTTTCTGGCAATAAGAAGGGACAGAGAGCCAGGCTTGGCATTCGAGGTAGGACTGGGATGGGGAAAAATCACCCTTTATGGTCACAAGAAAAAGGCAGACTCGTTTGCTTCACTTGCTACCCCCCCTTCAAGTATTAAACCATCTTCACCTCAACCTACAAATTTTCTCACTTCTATTCTTATTTTCCTCCCCTCTGTGTGTGGTGGAATGGTGGTGAGTGAGCATCTGTATGGGTATGTCCTGGTTTGGGCTGGAATAGAGTTAATGTTCCTTTTTGGTAACTAGAATAGTGCTGTGTTTTGGATTCAGCATTGGGTTTGGTATGAGAAGAATGCTGATAGCACACTGATGTTTTCAGCTGCTGCTGAGATTTCAAGGACTGTCCAACTCCCCATGTCCTGCCTGAGCACAAGTGCACAAGAAGCAGGGGGGTAGCACGGCCAGAGCACCAGATCCAAACTGGCCAATGAAATATTCCAGATCATGTAACATCATAGTCACTATATAGGGGAGTGGTGGTCGGGAAGGAGGGCTCTCTCTCACTTCCAGGATTGCGACTGTGGGATCTTGGTATTTCAGGATTGCTAGCTGGGACCGGGCTGCGTATTGGTCAGCGGGTGGTGAGCAATCGCATTGTGCATTGCCCGTTTATATTTTCTGTTGCTGTCATTGTTTTCATTTTATTACCGTTATTAAACTGTTTCTGTCTCAACCCGTGAGTTTCCCTTTACCCCTCCAATTCCCTTCCCCATTCCCAGGTTGGGGGGGAGGGTGGGTGAGCGGCTGCAGGGTGGTTGGCTGCTGAGCAGCCTCAAACCACAACAGGGTGCTTGGCTGCTGGCCAGGGTCAACCACCAGTTCATTTATTCCTCTCTTTCTCATTTATCTGGTTGATAGTAAACGAGATGTGTCTGCTACAAATTTCTCCCTCCATGAGGCCCACTGCTTGCGGTTTCTCACTCTCTGTCCTGAATGTGATGAACCAGTTGCCCAAAAGGAAATGAAAGACCATCAAACAGAAGCACACAAGCAGGTGAGGAATGCTACATGTTCTTCAGGGTTTTCTTGCAAATAGCAAAAAGCTCTGCCAGCCCTGAAGTAGTATGTTCATGGTACTGTGCTCTATATTAATTAGATTTGAACTTCTGTAATTGTTTGACCAGAAAATCTGTAGGGGTCTGGTATGACCCTTCAGGCCTGGTTACAGCAATTTCAATCTTATTGCACACTCAGCTTAAGCGAATAAAACTTGCACTGTGGTATCTCAGTTTCCTCAGCAATACAAATTACAGATCAGGTATGGATAAAATGCTCCTAGTACTTGTGAATTAGTCAGAGCGTGCAAGTTAAATGATTTGATATTACATAAACCTTGCCTATACAAAGCTATGACATCAATGCACTTTTTTAACAAAACTGAACTGGCAGAGTAAATTTATCAGCTCTTCATATAGTGAGGCGATAGCATTTTTAGTATAGCATTAAGAACCCTGTAGTTAGATGTACTATGCTGAAGCATGAATACACAGGCATGACTTTTTATTCTGTTTTACTAGTTTTATTGTTTTAGCAATTGCATTGTTTTCAGTTACTTAACAAAACGCATGAGTAGTTTTTGTGGCAAACATATAGAAAACTAGCATACCTCCTAGGTTTTCAGAGGGGCTATTGTAATTTAGACTAGCTCAATATCAGACCTGTTTTTAAGTTAAACATCAGTCAACATTTTGAATGCACATTCTTTATTTCACATCTGTTGTGGACTAACCCTGACATTCTTTGCATTTTGCTTGGGCACCTTTGAGAACTGGATCCTTGCACAGAATGACAGCTTCCTGTGGAATCATCAGATACCTCATTTCCTCCAAATTTCATCAACACAGCACAGGCCTGAGAGGGAAGCAAAAATTTACTAACAGCTTGTCAATGTTTGGGATGAAAATAACAGGAAGATCATCTCAGCAGCTTGAAGTTGTATTGACATACAAAAGCACTAACCATCCTCCTATGCTCCCAATGAACTGCTGTATGTTTTGCTTGCAGGTCAGATGTAATCTTTGTCACCAAAGCATGCAGCAATATCAGTTGGAGCATCATGAGGTAAGTATGATGTTACAGTACTTTTTACCCTCTAGGCTGATCCCTTTGACCAGCCAC